TAGCTTCTAATTCTATATAGTAACCCCTTAGAAATTTTTATAAATGTGCCCTAAAATGTTGCAAAAATCGGTGGATAAGAAGATAAAATAGAAAATGATGTCATTATCGCGTGACTGCCGCAGTAAGTTGGTTCTGATTGATCGACACGCTCGGGATTTCCCCAGTCCTCATTTACAATCTCACAATGCAAAAGCAAAAATCTATGTTTTTCAAACCTAATTTTTTGGAAAGGAATTTTTTGTCAAAAAAAATTTGTTTTTTCTGAAATTGATCTATGTGCATGATTTTATTTTTTCTTTGATGACCAATGTTTATATGTTTTCATAATGTGTAACAACATTTTTAAAAATTCATTGTATCAAAAATTTAATTATACTTTGTTGAAACAAGGGTTCACTGTATTTAAAAAATCAAATGATTGAATTAATTATTGTTTTTTTGAAAAATACTTTTTTGGTGGTGGCAAAGTGTCTTTCTTATTTTTAGTATTTAGATAGTGTGATGAATATCATGCTATTTGTTGATATTAATTATATTAATTTAAAATGGTATGAAATTTTTTGTTTTAATTTACTTTTTAAGTCATTAATTGACAATGGTATGAAATTTTTTGTTTTAATTTACTTTTTAAGTCATTAATTGACAATTGAATTGTTTTTTTTTTTTTTTTTGTTTATTACTATTATTACTAATTAAAAATGCTAAATTATCTTTTAATCGACAATTGATTTATGAATTATCATTTTTGTGGGGGTGAAGTATCTTGCATTTTTCATCAACAACAAGGAAAAAATTAATTGTGAATCATCCTGTTTCCTTTTAGTATCAAAATCTCTACACTTTCAAAAAAGCCTTGATCGGTTTGTCAACAACAATAAGGAAATTAATCACAAATTATCCTGTTCTTTTTTATTGGTGATCTCAAAACCTCTACACTTTCAAAAAAGTCTTGGTTGGGTTTTTTAACAGCAAATGACCAGTTCCTGTTTTTTACATCTTGCATATTTTCAAAAGGACTTGCATTTCTATACAATATCAATAAAAAATGATGAATGTTTGCTATATAAATGACCTGATTTTGCCAATTCGCAACCTATCTTTGCTTGTCTACACAACCAAAATAATCTTTTGCTTACCTTGCTGTTATGTTTTTTAATTAAAAATAAAAGGTTTAAATTTCAAAACACACTCCTGAAAAAAAAACTGAAATCTTAAACAAAATAAAAATAAATTGTCTCTACACTTAACTAAATACTAATATTAATGTAACCTTTTGAAATCATGGATTGTAGAATTGATTGATATGCCATTTCCCACTTTCTACAACCAAATCCAGAAAATCAACCTGAACAATCCAGCAACAATATCTCATTTCTTTCCATGTACTCAAACTGAAGTGAAATCAATTGTGATTTGGAGAATGCACCACCAACATGCAATCGATCTTGTGAACCACCCTCCTTGACCCCTTTAACTTTTGAAAAGTAGTGTCCTTCAAGAAAACTTCAGAAACTCTCGGATGAATTCAAGAAAAAAATACTATACAATCATCCATCTGTTCCTTGTGCCTATTGTTCTATGCTGATGATGAGAGCTGCAGTTAAATGGATTGATTATGATCTTGACAAAACTTATGACATAATGATAGCATTTCCAGACCTCCAATTACCTTTACATGTAAACAACAGGGGCCAAACCAAGATCGCTGTATGTTCATCATGTAAATCTACAAAAAATCACCACTTTCCACCTACCCTAGTGGTGATACCTGAGGAAATCATTGCAGTTCCAATGAAGCATCAAAAACACCTATCTCCAATTCACATGAGTTGTTCATTGGGACAAGCATCCAGGTCCAATCAATACACAAACTATCACCACTTGCAAGGTTTCATCGGGCTGTTGAAAAATAAGCATGATTTGAATTTGACTTGGGTTTAATTGAGGCTTTCCTAGATCAAAATGAACCACTGCACTGGTTTCACAAATCATTGGTAAATGCGAGCCAGTGACTGAAGCAAAATAAGCCAATATTCGAGCAGTACAACAAATGCTGCACTGTGACACACCCTCCAGCATCCAGTCTATTTCCACAACTGTTGCCAATGACTAGGCTGGTTACTCGATGCATGAGCTCAGCCACTTCACAGCAACAACCATCTTTAGTTGTCCCCAATGATGAATTTCTGGTGCAAATACATGATGAAGACTACCAATATGAAAGCCTGATGGCAGGGTTCATTGTCTCAAGTGGGGATGTTGCACTTCCAATCCAATCTAATAATCCAGGCATCAAGGCTTTGCTATTTCCTGACCTTTTCCCAACTGGCTGTGGGCACTATGAATATGTGAAAAAATTGTTAGGATTCAAACACCATAAAGATAGCTATGGAAAATATATTAAATTATGGATGTTGTGCCCAGATCTAAGGTTCAGGCTCCATTGGTACTGGCCACATTTCTCATACCAGAACCTGGAAAAGAAGCGCAACTACCAAAACTAAGGATGTTAGCCGAAATTGTTTTTAAATTTCTGAATATTTCGGATTTGAAATGTGCATTCTGATATTTTTCCAAAATGTTGAAATGTGCCGAAATGCCAAAATTCCATGTATAGAATGCCAAAACACTGAAATTCCATATTTATATATATAATAATATTATTAATTGAATTAAATATATGTGTTTGTTTGTCTTTTTCTCATTAACAAACTTTAATATTATGAAATAAGAACAATAATATATGAATATATGAATATTAAAGATAGTTATTAACATTAAAAAAAGAATAAATATTAAAAAATTATTATCCACCAATGGTTGATTTGGTAACCAAGTTCACAAAATGAGCTATGCATCTAAGATTACATGTAAACTTAACATTAGCACCATTATTGCTTTGAATTTATCAACTCCAATTTTATTGATTACTGTTTTAATTTCTGCTGTCAAAAATTGACCAATGTGATGAGAGCTGGAGTGGTCATGAGACAATATAAATATTGATTTTTTTGTGACATGGAAATAATCAAATCGATCATATCAAGAATTTGAAAGAGACAGCGTCACAGGTTTCATATCCATTTGATAAAAAGACAGATTATCTAGCTTCAAACTCTAGAGTAAACTCGTTTTGAATAAGTGATGATGGGTGGTGATGAATGATTGATTGGTTTAATCATCAGTAAATTGTAGTCTAAATTAACATTACTAATATTTAAAAATGATAAAATGACTGGACAGTGCAAGATGGTTCAAAGACATTATTGATGGTTCGAAATACTTGGATGTGATGAAAAGTTAGTTGTTTCATCTATAACTTTTTATTTGAATTTTGCCACCCAAGAACAAAATATCGAGGATGCTTTTAAAGTTAGCTCCATCACCAATAACACAATCATACATGAATCCATCTTGATGGTTCTTTGAAAGATTCAAAGAATATTGTAGTAATGAGGTGAGTTTGGACATTTCTTGACCCATAGATTTGGAGCTAAAAAATTTATTAAAAAATGATAAAGCTATTTTTATTTTTTGAATTTGATTTAATGAAAGGAAAATACATGTATGTATATATTAACATGAAAAAAATATTGATTAGAAAAATTACAGACTTTCTATATTTTTTATATTTTTTATTAAATTACACTAATTAATTAAATAAATATTGCTGTTGTTGTGTTATCATTATATTTATATTTATATATTTATATCTAATAATATAACCATTAATTAACTTGTTTATTATTTAATAAATAAATTAATTAACTAATCCACTTGAATATTTTTTTAGTTAAACTAATAATTTTTCCCTTTATTTAAAAATGTTCTTTACAGAAACGGAAGTTTATTCCATCAACATTAGCAAGTTTACATTCGGCTTTAAGACTTTTGGCTAAAGGAGTAGGACCACAATAATAGACACCGACATTTGTCACTAGGCTTTTTTCTTTTCCTGGTAAATATCTACCAGTTTCAATTGCTTTTTTCAATTGACTAAAGATATAATTAAAGTTTGGTCTACCATAACAAGTTCTAGATTCTAAATCAGTTAACGGGTCATAAGAACTTGACACATCATTGATTATAATGTTTTGAATTGTCGATTCACGTAGTTTAGAGGTGAGATAAATGTGAACTTTTAAGAAACCTTCTTCCAATTGTGAATCCTCTAGTGTCTTCAATAAAGATTGGAACCATTCGAATGATCCAGTCTCACGACAAATCCAGAAAAATTCTACACGTTTAAGTTTTGAAGGACGTTTAAATTTATGTTGGTAGAAAATATTTTTTAGGATTGAAGCAAATGGAGTTACACCAATACCACAACCAACCAATATAACAATTTCATTATTGAATACATCTTCAGCAGGAGCACCATAAGAACCATCAACTCTAATTAAAGGTAAAGCTTTGTTGAAGTCAAATTTATTATCAGCAGAAGAAGCCTCTTGACAACCAAGTATTTCACCAAGTTTATTAGTGAAATCACCAACTTGACGGATGTGTAATGAGACATAAGGATCATCAGGTGCAGAAGTAATGGTGAAAGGGTGCCATTGGAAGGAAGAGATGTCAGGAACATTTAAAAATAAATATTGACCAGCTTTGTAGGAAAAAGAAGGTTTTTCAAATTGAATTTCAATTGCTTTTGAAGGATGGGCTATTACTTTTGTTATTCTCGTTGATTGACGAGATCTAACTTCGCGCAAAACACGTTCAAAAAAATAGATTATTCCACCCCATATAGTCCATTCCCATGAGAAATAACCCTTGCAAACTTTTGGTCCTAATGTCTCATCAGTTGAAACAAAGCAACCATTAGCATGTAAATATAAACAGAACATAAAGAAGAAAGCCAAATGATGAGTATACCAAAAGGTTTCAAATGATTGTTGTCTCATACTGGCATGAGCAGAAGTGTACATCAAGACCATGATCAATAACATGAGATGCCCAGTAGTACCACCCCAAGTGTTGTAGTGAAGATGATAAGCAGTGTATTTTCCTGCTCTTTCTAGTACAATAAAATTAATGTAATGAGCAAAAGTGTGCACCAAAACCCAAAATAACATAGAGTAAGCACATTGACGATGGAACCAAAGATTTTCATCAAAAGGAATTATCCTACTCAATAAAGGTGTTAAACGTAAATATTTTATGATGTTTCTACAGACAGGTAAAAGTATCAAAGCACCATCATAAGCTAAACATAAACCAGCACCACGAGAGGTCCAAACTGAAAAGCCAATTTTGTTGAGATAAGCAAGTTCTGGGTCATCCTTTTGTTTGTAAAAACCATAAAAGAAAAGACCTATATGACTACCAAACCAAAAAATCCAAAAAAATACACGTTTTGGCGCAAATTCTCTTTCTATTAAGGATTCAGCCATTTTCCTTAAAATGTACGGCAAATATAATATAAAATAAAATAAATAGGAAAAAAAAGAATAGGGTAGGAGGAAAGGAGGAAAGGAGGAAAAGAGGAAAGGAAGAAGAAAATGTGGATGGATTATTATTATTAAATTGTGAATATTTTAAAATGTACTATCAAAGCACAAAAAAAATGAATAAACTGATAAATTTTTATTATATAATGACTAAAGAAAGAAAAGTGAAACGAAAATATAATTTATTTCCTATTTATATTATTTTCTTTTCTCCTTGTAACAAATAAATTTTTTTTTTAATCATCACTCCATACATAACACATTAATGTGTTTTTTTGGATCAAATTTAGTTGTATTGTACATGCATTATACTAATATATTAATATATTGTTTTTATTTTTTGGCTGTTCGTAATTCGCCGTGGCGGTAAACTCAGATAAATAGACCGATCGATCCGATTTTTCTGATAAATTAATTAAATCTTTTAAAATAATGTCATTGAAATTATATACCACAACAGTTATTGTGGCCTTAATTTCTATAGGTGTTTATTTATTAAGTAAGTTTAATCAAAAAAAAAAAAAAAAAGATAAAAAGATACGATTCTAATAAATATCCCTCTACGTTTATTATAGAACAACAAACAGATGAATTGATGGGAGTAAAACGCAAAATCGGAAAAAATGGCTTGGATAAATGTCGAAAAGTATTAGGTTTGTTTGATTCATGAATTTATTTTTACGCACATTCTTTTTTTTCTTGAATAATCTTTTGATGATTCTACGTACCTGCTTACTACAAAGGACCTTCATATTGTGAGGATGTTAAAATACATAGACCATCAGGTCTTGCTTTTATGACATGTGACAATTCACGTGCAGAATTCAATCCTTTGCTTGGTTTGGGTGATCCAAATCTTGTAAATGAGAATGGATCTATCTGGATATTCGATTTGAATGTTGATGACGTATGATTTATATATATATATATATATATATATTAAATATAAAAACAATAATTTTTTTAAAACTTTAAAGTTATTTTTTCTCCTCAATTCAGCCACCAATTAGACTCGATTCAGATTTTAAAAGATCATTTCATCCAATTGGCATATCTGTTGCAACTTTGAATGATAGTAAGAATTCAAAAACAGCAACTCTAAAAATCGCTGTTATCAATTATGATGATGCTAGAAGATCAGTTGAAATATTTGATTATAGTAGGGAAGAGAAATTTTTATATCATCGTAAAACAATCATTTCTCGATATATATATAATCCAAATCGTATTATCGCTGTTAGTAATATGCCAAGCCCTGACGGTATACCATCCTTTTTTGTCACGAATGATCATTATTTTATTAATAGTGATTTACAAAAAATTGAAGATTATATTACATTGCCACTTGGAACATTTTCTTTCTATAATGCTTTTGTAAATCGATCCGTAGAAACAGGATGGAGACTTCAACATCCTACTGGAATTGTAGCCACTGATGATTCAAATCAAATTTTTATAACTAATGCGTGGTCTGGTGAAATTCAGGAATTTAATGCTTTCTTTTTTAATAGAGAAACATTAAACATTAACTTTAATACTGTTGATTATCATCATGGTAATAAAGAAATTGACATATTTTGGCCTTTATATTTAACCATGAATTCAATTAAGCTTGGTTTTGTTGCGACAGGAATTGATTTTGATCCTATAACAAAAGATTTATATACTGTTGGTCATCCAAAGTATTATAATTATCTAGCTTATGCAAATTCGATTGTTTCTAATGATAGTAATGGCAATAAGAAGAACATCATTAAAATTTCACCATCATTGGTCACAAAAAGCACATTTAAACAACCTCCAACCTTAACTCAAAATAATAATCATTTTCCTGAACAAAAAAAATTCTTTGTAAAAAATGTATATACAACAAAAATTATATTTGAGGATGACGGTTCAACGTTTGGCTCAAGCACTGGTGTAGCAATTGATGTTGGACGTAGCAAACTTTTAATTGTTGGAAATTATGAACATGGCTTCATGGAATGTAAATTAAATTGAATCAAAAGAGCTTCTTTTTAAAATTTTTTTCTATTAATTTTTTTTAATTTGTTATTATTAATGCAATATTTTTTTTCTCATTTATAATACTTTCACTCCACACACACACACACACACACACACACATCCATTCAATTTTTACACTAAAAAGAATGATATAATAATAAGTAGCTTTAGCAATTAAATTAACCCCCATAAAACTTAAATATATTGTTGGCCCCCTAAAAAAATTTTTATTCCAGTTACACTTGTTCACTTAAACAAATTTCAGTTAACTTTTCAATATCCTAATTGCAATAAGAACAATAACAATAAATTTAAATTATTCGAAAAATATCTGATAAAACATATTGCGAAAAAAAAAACCTAACTGGCTGATGCGATTTACAGTAACATTCATAAAGCATTTGGCTACGCCCGAGAGATCTTTGTAAAAGTAATACCCCAGCTTCATATGCACAAAAAACATGAAAAGCTGTAGTGCATTGTCGACATTGGATGCATACACCATCAGAAGTTTTACATATATGACATATCTATTTTATGTATATATATTGTTGTTAAAATTATGATGATTGTGTGATCATTTGTGAATACAGAAATAAAATATCATCAATTAATTTACCAAACTTTTTCTTTCAAGTGGTATATATGTCATATCAACCACTATAAATTCTTCACCGAACTCTTCTTGAGTAACAGCAAAGGTTTCTGGGATAAAGCTCGCACAAAGTCTTTATTGAAAATAAAATATAGATTAATATTATTAATTAAAAATACGTACATACATAAATACTTACGCTCGCACGCTTATAAGATACTTACCGATGTGCATATCTGCCATCCACGGTGCGTATTGTTTCTTTTCCACGAACAGGGCATAAAAAACACTAAATCAAAATATCTTTTTATTGATATATAAAAGACAAGGAAATACAGAAAGAAAAATAAATAAAAGGTTAAGTTTGGAGTACCTTATCGTGATTTTCAAGTGTTATAGAAGAACTATTGTTTTTTTCAATGGTATATGGCTCATATCTGTGTGGCTTTTTATTTTTAACAACTACTTGCTGAGATTTTTTAAATTTAGATGGATTTTTATTATTATTATTATTATTACTTGTTTGCTCAAGAGATTTTATTTTATCAAGGCTCTGTTGACGTTTATGTTCAACAATTGGTTGTTTAGATATTCGTGTTGAATTTACATGCTTTGACTGAATCTCTCTTGATTTTACTGTTTTGTTACTACTTTGATGTATTTCAAACTTGTCAAATTTATGTAAAATGTATTTGTGTTTTTCAATCAGGGTTCTTGAAGATATCTGAGTTTGTAAAGTTATTGGAGATGTTACCATTCTATGGGAAATAGCGTCAAATGAAGGCGACAATAATTTGTTATTTGTAGATGAAGACAATGAATTCAAAGAGTTTATATTTGGTGAAGATTTTATTGTATGAACTTGAATTTTTGGCCTTTTATGCTGATTTGAAAAAGATATTTCCTTTGAAGTTTTCAATCTTAACATTTTTTTTGGATTGATTGAAGATGGCATTCTATAAGGCAATGATGATGAAGGTGATGAAGATTCAAGTATAGAAGAAATAGGTCTTTCAATCATCACCAAAGTTTGTTGTTCTGGCGGTTTGTTGATCAGATGGCCAAAAAGTAACTCAACATCAATTTGGACACTATCAGGGCGACAAGTACAGGATTTTGCTTTTATACCATAATCAATCCAATCTTCAAAGGCAAAATTAACACTTTCGGCACAATTAAAACCTAAATTGTATCCTGAATGATAGCCACGTGGAAATGTAATAACAAATTCACCTTCTCTCTGGATCAAACGATTGATTGCTATAGGAACTTCGCCAATTATTGTTGGAGATACCATATATTCTTTATGACGTAAAAACTGCAAACATTCCTTTTCTGCGTGTGGAAACCAACCTGAATTATTTATATTGAATACAATAAAATTTTATTAGTTAAAAATGTCTTTAATGATTCTTTATATAATGATTATTTATTATTCATCATATTTTATTATTAATGTCAATTTAACACATGATATAAGCATTATAATGATTTTTAAACGGAAAGAGAGATCATAATCAAAACAGTACTTCTTTCAAAAAATATTATATAGTATGTATAGGTTGATATTGAGGAGTTTTTTAAATATTAATATCATACACACGATGTGACAAATAAATGTATTGGTGATGTATAATTAGTAAAATATGAAAAGATACCTTTCATATTCAATTCAAAGTTTGAAGCTTTTAATGGTGATATGGAATACCATTGTTTAGGCGCGCCAAAATGGATATAATTGATTGAATAAAGATCCTTGTCCTGTTATTATTTATTATTTATTATTATGTAAGAGTAAAAAATTTTTAATTTATTTATTTATTTTATAACAAATTCGTATAATGTAGGTTAAATAAATTCCATTACTTAAAACAAAATTTTACCTCGACATGCCATGCAAATGATGCTTTCCACATTCCAAAATAAAGATAAGCGTCATTAACACCAGGTATTGACCCAATCTGAGTCAAGAGATTATCAAGCTTATTCACATTCCAATGTTTGAAGTCATTAGAAAATAGAGAGCCTAAATATAAATATATTATATACAAATATACAATATAGACGGCCCATTTATTTATTATACATTAATGCAGAAATTTATATTTTATTACCTGCCATATCTGCACCATAGTAAGGAGGGCTATAGGGCAAGTTGCGCCAATAGTCACGTTCCAATTCTTTTATATATTGTTCATCGTTGTATGGAAGGTTTCCGTTAACGGAATGGTAATTAAATTTTGGTGGATTATCTATATTTGCTATTGGTTCAACAACTACTTTTGGCTCGAAAATGATCCCAGAAGTACATAAAACCTCCATCTCTGATTCATCACCATCATCATCTTCACTATCTAAAGTTGAAATATAATTATTCATCAATAATTTATTATTAATGCTATAGTCAACAGATAAATTATTTGGTGAGTCGTTGGGTGTAAATAGCTGTATGTTTTCTGATGTGATTAAATGGTTTGAAGATTCCGATATTGTTTCGTTTCTCTTTTGTTCGCTTTTTGATGTAGTATCAGTTATATTTTCAAATTTTTGTTGAGAATCTATTAAAGAACCAAAATTCAAAGAATTATTATTATTAGCTGAACTAGATGATGGCTTTTGTTTTTGTACAACTTTTTGATTATTATTAAGAGGAATCCTTGGATTCAAGTATCTTGTTTCAGGAGGTCTATGTTCTTCTTGTTCGCATAATTTGGCCCATTCTTCGACACTATATGTTTTATGGGTTTCCACATTTTTTACAATATAAGCACCACATTTGCTTTGACGCATAAATACTTGTTGAATTGGGTGTGCAATTTTGATTTTGGCCAATTTTTCTGACAAATCGTTTGGAAGTTTTGATTTCCTGATAATAAGAATAATAAGAATAATAAAAAAAGTTAGTACAAGAATAATAACAAAAAAAAAAGAAAACAAATAGTTTTTTTTACCATTCTGAGGGTGGAATGACTTTAATGATTCCATATTCTGTGCCATATTTTCTTACTGAAGCAACAAACGCTCCAAAATCCTTAAACTGTTCAAAAGTAGGTTTAAAGACTGGAACTCCTCCCTTTCCATCATAGAAATGATCAGGTTGTATTTGTATGGTATCAGAATTATCCATAAATAATCAGTAATGATAAAATAAGTTAAATATTGAAACTAAAAGAATGTCCTTATGTGCTAATTAGACCGGTTGTTTATTAGCAACAAAACTTTTTTTCAAAATATAAAAAAATTTATATCAACGATTACATATTAATATGGGGGCACACAGTGAACATGACGCAGCAATTTTTTTCAGGGGCTAAGATCCTAACCAGTTACACAATGTACCCACAAGAGGAAGAAAACGAATTAAACCACAAGCCTGATTGAATTTACTTTCTAAATTTTTACCATGGATATAATAAAAAGTACTTATCACTTCAATTCCCAAAATGACAATAAAATAATAAAGAGAAGCTGAAGCAATTATTTTATGATCATCAAAATGGAAAACAATTAGCAAGAATAAAAGCAATTAGAACAATCATCAAGTTAAGCAAATCTAACTACAAAACAGAAAATCCATGATCAGAATTATTTACTTGAACCTTGAGAAAATTTTGTTCTTTTGATTCTTTTAAAAACTTTGAGCATCCCAAATTATTTGTAACATCTTTCTTGAAAATTTAATACTAATTAATATAAGAATGAATTACAGTTTTTTATGCAACTTCTTTTCTTATTTGCATATACTCACTATTTATAAAAAATAATTGATGCAGATATTTTACAAAAATACATTAAAATAAAAATGTATAAATATGATTAATCTTGAATTTTTTAACAATTATTATAATATTAAGGGTAAGGGGAATCACGTGACAAAATATATGTAGATCCGGGCTCAAAAATCTAAATTTATGCACGTTACATAGATAAGTTACGCGAAACGCGTTTAAACATCTTTGAAATTTTGTTGCATGTAAATACAAAACCCCTTTAATTTTTGGAAAATTTCAAACAAAATTAATTAGTAAAGATTTATAAAATTCTTAAAATTCTTCAAAAAAAGTTGCCAATCACATAGTAACCAGTGCCAATCCCATAACCAAAGTATACAACATATAGTAAAAATTACTCTTTCTGAAATAAATAAATAAATAATTTTAATTAATTTAAAGCAAATTTTTCACCAGCTTAATGATAGCTTCTTGTTGTTTAGTAAAACTATCTTATTAATAAAATATTTTTTATATTTAGCATTCAAAAATGAAAAATTGGTATAAATCATTAACTAAGGTTGCTTGCCAAAACTCCTCCAGAAATCAATCAGCAGGGTTTCAGCAGGTTACACATTAATTATTTATTAGAGTTTCAGCAGAGTTTCACATTTTGAGGTTTTGCCATTTCGGCATAGTTTCAACAGGATTTTTGATAAGATTTAATATAGTTTTGCTGTGGTTTTCAGTAATTACTAAGGAGTTTTCGCCCACAACCTTATCATCAACAGAAAATAATATTAAATTATAAATTATTTTATCAAAAAGATCAAAGTATTTTTGTTCGTGATGATTCATATCAACTGAACACCATGGAAGCATATCAAGATCTATATAGCTCATATATCTTGTGGATAAAAACCCCTATAGGCATGGGATCTGATTTAGAAGATGAAAACCATAATGATGGTTAGTGCAACAATGTCTGAAAAGAATGCTCATATTTAGTGTGAAAAGATGAAGATAGAATGGAATAATCTTACTATAATTAGATTATCATCATTTGCTTGCCCTCATATTTTCTTGCAAGTCCATGAAAAGAAAAAACCAAAAAAAGAAGCTAACTATAGTCAAGTAGTTGAGGAAATTAACAAAACTTCCACTGGAAGATGTGTAGTTTATTGTGCAACACCTAAAATTTGTGAAGACCTCAAAATTTATGTAACTAATGAAATTACAAATTGTGAGATTGACCTTTATCATGGTAATTTATTTGGAGAGGAAAAACATGTCATTAATGAAATGGAAAACCGGAAATACTAAAATAAACATAGCAACAAATGCTTTTGGAATGGGTATAAACACTTCAGATGTATACCTTATAATTCATTTCAATTTTCTTTTGAGCCTTGGCCAATATATCCAAGAAAGTGGGAGAGCTGGGAGAGATGGTTCACAATCAAAAAGTGGGTCTGTATCATTTCGTCGACAGTTCATTTCACCGACAACACCCGACGTAACGTTTAACTTCAAATGATAAAATTGTTAATAATATGCGCCCACACGCGAAATCCTCACCTCCGTGTTGTCGACGAAATGATTGTCGACGAAATGAGCGCCACCGGTTTTTTTCTGACTGGACTGGAAGAAGATAGCAAATTGAAATTCTTAAAATATGATGCATTCAGAAAGTTGTGACATCAACTAAGTCCCCAGATCCAAATTATGAGTCCAAGGACTGATTTGTGTGATACTTGCCAACATTTTCGAAATGGCCTATATAAGAAGCAAAAAACAAATATCCAAGATCGCATTACATTGGAATTCTTGATTACCAACGGCCCTTTACTAATAAGAATTTATAAATTCTTTCAATTGGTAAACATTCATACTCCCGCTTCCTGAAATTCTTGATAAAATAAATGTTCACTTGTCTGGTTTTGTTGCATTATCACTATATAAATATGTATAGTCATTTAGTCGCCGGACTTTCTGCGCCACAACGCCACAATAAAAAATTTCGCAGTTACGTGACTTTAGAGTGTATTATTACATAATAATAATAATAAATAATTGTTGGCGAAATTTTATGTTTATTATTTATTATTTTTATTATATAATAGTAATTGGTAATTAAGAGGTATACAAACTTTTGTAAAAAGATCAATGATGTGACCATAATAAAAAAACCATTATTATTTTAAAGAGTTGTTACTCAACTATAAAAAAAAGATGGTGATGAAAATTTTCAGATATGGATATTCTATTTTCAATTCGTTAATATTATTAATATAAAAAATATTGAGGCTTAATTTTCCATGGTAACGTGACATAAATGAAATCGTAATTTTATATAGAAAGGTCTTGGCTACGCTTTGTTTTTTGAGAATACAAGTTCTGTATTCCGTACATCTGCGCCTTCGTACTAAATAATGTTCTGTACATGAAAATTCTTTGGAAAAGTGACAGCACCCACAATAAAAAGTTTGAGTATACAGAAATTAGAAAATACACAATGTACGGAACAAAAAAGAATAGTGTACGGAATCTCTACCAACCGTTGTCCAATTATTTAAATATGCCAAATTCCTTTGAAACTGTTTATGCTTCACGAAAATTTGGCCGAAAAAACTACAAATCATTTTCAGATATATTAAAGATAAACTGAAGAGCTTTCTACAAGAGACAAATCTAATTCAATGGCCTGTTAAAAGTTCTAAAGTTAGAGATGATCAAAGGTGGAGGAGAAACTTGACTAATGAAACTAACTAGAAATTATATTACAAGTTGAAAATATTATTAATGAAAATAACATAGCAAAATCGATTTGAAATAATATAAAATAAATATAAGAATAGAAGGTGAAGGAATTGGTTTGGGTAACAGAAGACAAGATACTGGCATTAAAATAGAGCTATATCTTATATGTGACGGAGAGTCATCAGTGAATTTGTGACAAGGAACGGAAGGAATAAAAATGCGTTAAATGTGTAGAGAAGAGAATAGGAAAAATCAAATTAACAGAGTTTTGAAAATTTTAACGCTAATAGTAAGGTAATTTTCTGATTTATATAAATAAAACAAATAAAATAGATAATATCATTGAAATAGAATCATACCTGTGTTTTATTCGTAATAAATTCACATTTAGCAAGAAGTAAAATGTCAAGAGATATAACGGATGATGTTGCAAAAGCAATAAAAGATTTTTGTTGTTAAGTCAGATGCAAGATAATTGTAAAGCACGAGAAGTAAAAAAGCACAAGTTACTCAACATTGCAAACAACATACCCAATATTCCCTTAAAGGTAGGTAGGCATTGTCATCTTGCCTTCTACTTTTATAATGCCAAGTTATGAGAATCAAGGATAGAAAAAAAAGAATTGAAAGGAAGGATAGTTTCTTCAAAATAGTTGTCTCATATTTGAAAACGTTTACCTTATTTTTTTTTTTTTTATGATGATTGCATTATAGACAGATTATTTAGTCTCATCAGGAATAAATTCGCCACAATTGCGCGGCATTCAAAACGAGAGGTTTCATTTTTCATCTTTGATTTCGAAACAATTTACTTTCTGTATTACTTGATGCAATCAATTCATATGATAAGAAACTAAGAATCATTCTAACGTGTTCATTTGTTTCAACATACCCAAATGAGGATACACGTTATAATGTAGAAATATTCAAAGGATAGAAAAGAGTGTAGCGAACATTCAACCTGTAAAGATACAATGCCTGGCATTGCTGGTGACATTCGTGTGATCACAAGTTATTAGCTAGATGAATTGATTAAAAGTACACACAACCTAAATCTAAATGTTATAATAATGTCAATAATGTTTATTCTCTTAAATGGATTTCTTATAATGATTTAAAAGATAATGAAATGATAGAGAGATGTGGTTTTTGGCCATATATGGATAAATGGTGAAAATAGGTAGGACGTGATTTCTTGAAGAATTTTACAGATTTATTATTTTTAAATCTACTTATAAAATTAAAATTTTCAGAATAACCTGATCACAAAAGGAATATTAATATATATCTTTGCAATGGATTATATAAAAAACGGAAGTCTTCAAAATTATTTAAAAAGGTTTTTAAAAATTTAAAATGAAAAGAATTCACTTGTCATGATCTGTTCACGTGTTGTAGTTTTGGGGGTTGTCAACTCCAGCTTCATATAGTAGGAGTATTACCATATTTGCACTTGAACCACACACCATGACATGTAACTTTGGAGGATCGATGTCAGTAATATCAACAGGTTAACGACAATAGGGTTTCAGGCCAAACTATTTTTCAAAAAAATTAATCCCGGCAATAATTTGGGCTTCTCAATATTTTTTATAATGAAAAAACTACATAATAAAACTTAATTTAATTTAAATTATTTGGATAATCTCGGACATCATTAAAAAATAGTTTTACCTAAGAGATGCAGCAATTTCGGCCACTAAGAGAGGTAGTTCGACCATCGACATGATATAGGTCTTGCAATAAAGATATACGGGGATTAAGACCTGGATTTTCAATTAAATTTATATTAAATTGGCCTATAGATTCAGATAGCTCATTGGTAGAAAAAATGTAATTCACAAAGATTTTACATAGTGAAAGCATTGATCATAACACCCATTTTTACAAGATTTTTACAATGGTTTTAATACTAGTGAAATATTATACTTTAACTATGTGAAATCTTTGTGAATTAAATTCTTTCTACCAGTGTCAATACCCAGAAGAAGATTTTAAACAATAGAAAGAATTTGATTACTAGTCAGAATTTCATTTGATCATTCAACAATCAATCGCCTTATCAATTAATTCTGCAAACCCTCCTTCAACCTGTTTAATTCAAATTATTGGTAACTTCAATGGTAATTATTATATGAAAATCAATAGTTTATTAAATTTATTATTAAATATAAAGTAAATAAATTGCATAATAGCACACAAAAAAAACCCATAAAAACGTTCTTAGGTGAGGTATCTCCAATTAGGATGATTATCAAGTAATTCTTCATTATATTTTTCTTCAAAATTTTCGTCTTTATTATCATTGTTGTTATTATTAATTTTTTGGAGTAAATCTTTTTTCTTATTAAATTTAGTGAGGATGAATTTTACTGACGAGACAAGAATTATATGAAGACAAAGGAATGCGATCATTATGACATGACCACGTAAAACACTATCTGGTCTATAAATTTGGCCTGCTATGACTCCACCAACTTCTCCTACTGTTGAAATTATTGCCAATCCAACTGCCCTTTTATACTGTCCGGCTTTTTTTTTAAAAAAAATAATAAACCAATTAGTATCAACCGCAGCAGCAGCGACAACAACAGACTATTATATGAATAATAATTACCAATATTAGTTGCCATCCAAGAAACAAAAACTGCAAGATAAGAAAGCAAGCAGGAAATGACGATACACGTGATTACATATCTTATCACAATATTTTCTTTGATTGAAATTATTAAGACAAGACCTATAGCTGCAATTAAATCTGGTCCTATAATATGAAATCCACGGTCATTATTTCGATTACTTAGCCAAGTATTAAAAGACAAAGCAATAGCGGCAAGAACAAACGGTGGAGCTGATAATGCTTGAGATTTGATTGAATCAAATCCCATTTCATTTATAATTGTTGGAGTAAAAAGTAGAACTGAATTGAAAAGCAGTCCATTAGCAAGTGCAACGATTGCAAATAAGTAAATCTTATAATCAGTAAAAGCACTAAAAACTTGTTTCTTTATTAAATCACTTGGTAGTTTCTTTGGTGCGGCTTGGATTTGCAATCTTTTATATGCCACGGAAACTTCTTCTTTTGTTAAAAACTTGGCATGGTTCGGATCTTGAGGTATGACAAAATAAAATATTACTGCCAAGATAAATGGAGGTAATCCTTCTATAATAAATATCCATTGCCATCCATGTAAACCACTCAATCCATCCATTTGAGTCACAATACCATAGGCCTAATAATAATAATAATAATAATAATAATAATAATAATAATAAATGTATCATATTATTATTATATAAATTTATACGTAGATATGTAGTAATTTACATTATATAATATAATTAATCACTCACTATAAGGCTACCGAAAGCACCTGAAATTATTGAACAAGCAAAACCAATAGCAGCTCTTACACTAAGTTCGTTAGGAGTATACCAAACTGTATAATAATAAAGTTGGATAGGTGGTGCCCCGCTCTCAAAAACACCCAGGAGAAATCTTAGAGCCTGAAGTTGACCAGCGTTAGTAACGAATGCTTGTAATAAGGAACATAAAGCCCATCCAACCATTATTATTGGATACCAAATATTAATTCCTATTTTCTTATTAACAAAGCATGAAGGAACATCGAATAGTATAATTCCAATATAGAATAATGATAAAGCATTATTATAATCTGGTTCACTGATACCAGTATCGACAGTTAAACCTGCGATTTTGGCATTGCCAATATTAACTTTTTCCATAGTATTAAAGAGATATGTCAATGTGAATAAAGCTGCAAATAATTATGATTATGATTATGATTAGGATTAGGATTAATATCATCAGTATTAGTATGGCTTGATGAATAAAAAAAAATTATATATTTACGTATAATTCTCATATCAAGTTTCCGTAATAATTTTTTTTCAATAGAACGATCAATATTCTGATCTTCCAAGGAAATAAATGAAGGATCTTTGTTTAAATTATTTTCATTTGCAACGATCGTTTTATCGTCACTTTCATTAGATTTTTCAGCCATAATTAATATTCTTTATCTTGGTAATAAATTTATTTTTTTTTTTTTTGCATAGAAAGCGAGTGAGAAAGATTTTTTTCGTCGTAAGAAAGAACAGTATTTATTAGAAATATTCAATTAATGTAGTGTTTAATTTTTAACGATTATATAATCTTCCTATTATATTATATAACTTGATTTTCTTATTTCGCGCAATTATATTATAAACTTTATTTCTTTATGGATTAGATCTTCCGCATAAATATCAGTGCACGCGTAAGGGTTTCTTATTGGTTTATAAAGGGTCTCCTTCCTTGATTGGAAAATAATTTTACAATAAAGTGGACTGCCAAATATTCATTTAATATTAATATTAAAATAATTGCGGCGGAATAAAACATTTCGTAATCAATTGTTTTCACACACACAAAATTAAAAGTGTTACAACGTTGAATTGTCGAATAAAGATTTGTCAATTCAAAGAATATTAATAATACAGTCGTACCTCCGTGTGAAGGTCTAGAACAAACTATATTCAGTTTTTTTAATAATACGGCTTACTTAACGTTGGTCACGGTAAGACTGGAAAATTACATTATAATTTGGCCAAAGCAAATTTGTGTCACAAGGAAATTTCAGGGGTTCATAATCATCAAATTCACAATTTTATTTTTTTAAATGCAATATTTCTCGGGAAGGCATACAATATATTAATATTACATAATATAATTATTATTATTATTATTATATTACCAAAGCACTTTAAACAATTGATTGAGAGGGCCGACTTATCGAGTTTACTTGTATATATACACAACTTTGTATTTATTCTATTTTCTTTAAGAAGAGAGGTCGATGATGGTCGATGATTTTATTACTAATACAAAAAAAAAATTATTACTATTATTATTATTATGAAAACTCTTTAATTTTCTTCGTTAAACACGAAAATTGCCATGTAATCGTGGTTTTGTAAAGATACTTGGTTTTAGATTTCCATTTTTGGAGGTCTACATGGCCAATAGGAAATTCTGCGACTAAGTGTACCAATTACTAAAATAACTTCTTTCTTGCTTAATTTAATTAATAATTTTTCTGAGCAATAATTTGCGAGTTAATTATGTTTAGGCGCGATTGCTTTTTGATAATAATAAGCTAATAGTGAGGCTCCGAACGAATCGAATCAAATCGGATTTTAAAGCGATCCAATGTACCATTTCTGCACATTCTTTTTAAAAAATTAGTCAATTTTAATAAAAAAAAAACTTAATTTTATACAGCCATAGGTGCTCGTTCCCGTGCATTTTTATGGAGCGCATTAATAGAACCTAGGGGTAAGTAAATAAGTGGGTTGCACATATAGATTTTGTGAATCCAAAACTGTCACGCACTATGAAATTACATAATAGTTATCCCCACGAAGTGCGGGATAACAATAGGGTTGTTAAATGGAGCATAATGTTCTGGCATCAACCCGGGTTATGTATCACTCCATCATGGAGTGGGGTTAAGATTTCTAATTTTTTGTACTAACCCGGAGCAAAATATTTTATTATAACCCGGGTTGCTCCAAATTATTTTAGTAATTTGATTATTAATCATAATAAAATAATAATTTGTTAATTTTGATTGCGAATTTTATTATGAATAAAAAACTGAAATTTATGAAAATTTATATGAAATACTTTCAGATAGTGAGCCTGAACCATCAGTGAATCATTATTAAATATAAATAGAGAAGAAAGTGAGATTAATTTAATTTTTAGTCAAGAAGATAATGAAAGTTTAATTACTACTCCTACAACCATAACTACTACAAGTACAGCTACTACAAGTACAGTTACCACAAGTACAACTAATACTATAGAAGAAAATGAATCTAATTCATCAAACACTTCACGCGAAACTTCTTGGGTTTGGGATTTTTTTTCAATAGAATATAATGATAACCAAGAATTTATTACATATATTTGTAATGTAAAAATTGGTATAATTTTTTTTTACTTTAAACGAGAATTATAATTATAATTATTACTCCATGGAGAAACCCATGGAGTATTTACATTTAACCCGGGTTGGGTTAGGTTAACCCTTGCTTCACTATAATATAAACCCAACCCAACCCATTATGTTCCATTAACAACCCTAGATAACAGCAAAATTCGGAAAATTTTGCTGCCAACTTATCAACCCGGATGTGGGGGATAAGAGAACTATCTCCCGGTCATACAATAACATATGACCGTAGATTATCATTCTGGTCTTATTCATCTCAGGGATGATATTAAATCCCGATAGGTGATGATAAACCTGAATGATAACTTCATTACACGATATGTGACCAGGTGATAACATCAGGAAATTTTTTCTGGTACGGATTTATGTAAATATTACACTATTTACGTAAGTTTACGGCAGGTCCTGTAATATTATGAAATAAACATACAAAAATTATGCAATTATTACATTGAGTGTAAATATATGGGGCATGGACAATAGAAAAGGGCATAACTACCAAAATTGTGATTTTGAGTTAACAACATTCCTATGCGTAATTTACTACAAAGATTAATTTTAGCTTAGAAACCATACCCACTTTGCTTAATAAAATTTCGAGATAATTAAAGAAAACTGCAAGACGTACAAGAACCAACAAATTGGTATTATACTAAAACAAGTAATGATAAACCTAAATCCGGAATTTAGTTTAAATCATGTAACACGAATTTATTAATTTTTTTTTGTTATTATTATTATTATTTTTATTAAACGGAAAATAAAAACAAATAAAATTTTATCATCTAAAATTCACTTTTTCACAACACAAACAATTGAATCTGATATTTAAAAAATGACTTCTACACATTTATTTTTTAACAATATTTTTACTGAGACACATCCTAATTTAATTGACTTAGAAGAATCTTTTGCTAATTTGAAAACAAGTTATATGCCTAATTTGATTATTAACAAAAATGAAGAAATAGTTGATGAAACAGAGATAAGTCATGATGAAGAAGAAGACAGTTGTGAAGCAGAAGAAAGTGATTATGAAATGGAAATGTTGTCTAAAGAACAATTAGAAAAATTCAAAAATATATACAATAAAAATAAAATAATGGATGACCAAATTATTGACTCTGAAGAGCAAATAGAAATAGATCATGATATCAACCATTATGTAGCAAATTTGCTAGAAAGAGATTGTTGTCAAAAAGAATGTTTGAAAATGAATTTAAATTTTAATGATGTTAAAACTAGATATAAATGTTTTCTTGATCTTAAAAAAACTGAACAAGATATTTTTTTAAAAGGTTTTCTTTCTGCTAGTTTGAGAAATGAAATAACTACTAGAGGAGAAAAAAGGAGAAGATTGGCAAATGTCTGTTCTTTTGGAGGAGTTGAAATTTGTCTGACTGCATTCATGGGTATCTATGGTATAGGTAAAAGAAGATGGGGAAATGTTAGAAATCATTTTAATGAGTTTGATATACAGCCAAGAACACATTCTTTAACAGGAAAAGTAGGTAATAAAGCAGTATCATTTGATGGGGTTTTGCAGATTATTAAATTTATATTAAATTATTCTAATACAAATGGACTCCCATCTCCAGGTAAATATAAATTATTTAAATTTGAAAAAGAAAAGTTTATAAATAATTAATTAATGTAAAATTTATTATATATAGGAAGAAAATTTAAAAAAGACACAAAGCCTATTATATTTCTCCCAGCAGATGAAAATCACACTACTGTATTTAAATATTTTATTGATGCAGTTGAAGAAAATTCTGAAATATATGTCTCAAATAGAACATTTCGAAGAATATGGCATACATATCTTCCAGAAATTAAATTTCTTACTCCAAGAAGTGATTTATGTCATATTTGCAAAGAACATAGGTTCAATGCAAATTGTTGGATGGAAGAAGAAAAGGAAATGAAGGTTAGAGAAATGGAATGATCATATTACATGGGCAATGAAGGAACGTGAATATTATAGGTATCAATCATGGTATATTTTTTTTCTTTTTTTTTTTGTTAAAGATTTTTGCTAAATTTATATGTTGATTTTTTAGAGATTGCATAAAAAATGCAAAGGAAGCATTTGAAAATTTAAATCAAGATTCAAATCCCACTAGATCTACAAATTCACTTAATATTAAACTTCACATTTCATGGGATTTTGCAGAACAAGTTCATATCCCATATTCTTCACAACAAGTGGTATGCAATATTATTTTTATTTATATATAATTTTTTCAAAGGTAATTGATTTTAAATTGTGCTATTATTATTATAAATAATAGTCAAGTTCATATTTTAAATCTTTATATAAAGTTCAAGTATTTGGCATTTGTGAAGATTTTAGACCCAGACAGGTGAAATAATAATTCTTTTAATCAACTCTTTAAATTACAGTATATAATAACTATAATTATCATTTATTTAGATTAATTATCTTATAGAAGAATCACAGTATATTGGTAAAGGAGCTGATGCTGTGATTTCTTTAGTTCATAATTATTTTGAACAACATAGTCTTGGTGAAGAAGAAATAATAATTCATGCAGATAATTGTTCTGGTCAAAATAAAAACAATGCAATGATTCAATATTTGGCCTGGAGAGTGTTAACAGGTAAACATAAAAGAATTACATATTCTTTTATGGTAGCTGGCCATACCAAATTTAGTCCTGATGGTTTTTTTAGATTGTTTAAATTGAAACTTAAAAATTCTGAAATTTATGATTTAGAGGACCTTGTTAATGTTGTAGAATCATCAACAAATGGGTACAATAATGCTCAAACAATTTATGATGAAAATGGTGAAAGAAAAGTTTTTTTTCACAGCTGGACTGAATATTTAAGAAAATTTTTTAAACCATTACCAAATATTTTAAAATATCATCATTTTATTTTTAATCAAGAAGAGCCAGGGATTGTATATGTTAAAAAAAATATTAATGGAGAACTTATAACTATAGACATAACTAAAAATTTTACCATGGATCCTGTTTTAG